AGTCTGGAGATAGACACCTTCTGTTGCAGTTCCAAAGGCATGCTTCAGCATGACCGCAAAAAAGATCCCAAACAGAGTTGGTGCGAGGATACAACCCTGTTTCACTCCACTTTGGATGTCACTGATGTTGAGCCAGCAAAAATATTTATTTATTTATTTATTTCATTTATATCCCGCCTATCTAGTCGTGGTGGACTACTCTAGGCGGCAGTGCCCTTCATTTCCTCATGAAAGGACCTGATGATGTTGAGGAGTCGAGGTGGAAATCCAATCTTGGAAAGTATTTTAAAAAGACCGTCCCTGATAACCAAGTCAAAAGCCTTTGTAAGATCTATGAAGACTACAAAGAGTGACCGTCATTGTTCCCTACATTTCTCCTGCAAATGTCTGAAGGAGAATACCATGTCAGTGGTGTACCTATTAGCTCGAAATCCACACTGGGATTCTGGATAGACTCTGTCTGCAAGGACATGGAGTCTCTGCTGCTCTTTAATTGCATTCCATTTTACAGCATGGTGTGCAGGTTCTAGCCATGAACAGAACTAGATGGATGGCATTGAACTGTCTGCATAAGGTCTATCCACAAAGAGTGGCTGTTGTTGTTCCCCATATTTCTCTTGCAACATTTTCAGTCCAGTCGTGTCCGACTTTAGAGGGTGGCGCTCATCCCACTAGGGATGACTAGGGAACGCCGTTTTATCTTTCCACCGAGATGGTACCTATTTATCTACTCGCATTTACATGCTTTCGAACTGCTAGGTTAATTGCATTCCATTTTACCCACAAAGAGTGGCTGTTGTTGTTCCCCATATTTCTCTTGCAACATTTTCAGTCCAGTCGTGTCCGACTTTAGAGGGTGGCGCTCATCCCACTAGGGATGACTAGGGAACGCCGTTTTATCTTTCCACCGAGATGGTACCTATTTATCTACTCGCATTTACATGCTTTCGAACTGCTAGGTTAATTGCATTCCATTTTACACCATTGTGTGCAGGTTCTCACCATGAACAGAACCAGATGGATGGCATTGAACTGTCTGTGGGTGCATGGCATAATGCAGTACTGCACAGCCATGTGGCCACACAACTTAGAGGGAACGTTGATTGTAGTGCATACTCTGTGTGAGTGGAAAGGTGTGTCTTATGGAGTGAAAAATATGGTAACTTAGAGGGAACATTGATTGTAGTGCACACACTGTATGAAGGGCATTACTGGGGTCTCTGCCTATTGCTCTGAAGTTAGTGTAACGCTCTCTCACCTCAGTTTCTATCTACATTTGCATCCCAAGTGGCTGTCATTACTCTACTTTTACAGTCTTAATTGATACGGGGCCGGTTGTCTTATGGAGTGAAAAATATGGTAACTTAGAGGGAACATTGATTGTAGTGCACACACTGTATGAAGGGCATTACTGGGGTCTCTGCCTATTGCTCTGAAGTTAGTGTAACGCTCTCTCACCTCAGTTTCTATCTACATTTGCATCCCAAGTGGCTGTCATTACTCTACTTTTACAGTCTTAATTGATACGGGGCCGGTGTATTCAGCAGAAGAGAAATATGGCTAGAAGAGGGAAAGTTTAAAAGTTAATGTTCAGGAGAAAATACTCACATGGTTTTCAGCACATGCTACTCTGTGAGCACCGTCCAGATGGCAACAATCAGCAGCAACACCAACCATCCTCCTTGTCAAGGCCCGTATTTTGTCTGAGGTGAGTTGGGGTGCCTTTCTACCATAACGGACAATAATCCTGCAAACAACAACAACAGGGTTCTAGTAGATACTAATCACAGATAGAAAATAATCCCTGGGTAAGGTCAGTTTGCAATAGATGGCAGGATGAGGGATGAGAGTTTAGGAATTAAGGGTGGAGCTCAACGTGGTTTAGAAAAAGCAAGTCCCTGTTCAGGTTTGTACAGATTGGGCCACAGAGTGTAGCCCTTAGAGCTTTTTGTGGGAAACTCCTGCCTGAAGGTTGTAGCTGTGATTCTGTTCCAGTGATGTGCATGCACTCCTGGCAGGATGCAGCAGCTGCCAGTAGGTGGGGTAGCTCCTTCCTCTGCCCTTTCACTTAGAGGTAGTGCATAAGATCAAAGGGTTATTTAAGCCAAACCTAGTTACGATTAGGTAACTAGTATCCTATCTGTTTCTCTCATAATGTGCCCCCTATGAATAGATAGAAAAACTGGGAATGTTATTTTCCCATGTGTTTTTGTGGGAAACTCCTGCCTGAAGGTTGTAGCTGCGATTCTGTTCCAGTGACATGCATACACTCCTGGCAGGATGCAGCAGCTGCCAGCAGGTGGGGTAGCCCCTTCCTCTGCCCTTTCACTTAGTGCATAAGATCAAAGGGTTATTTAAGCCAAACCTAGTTACGATTAGGTAACTAGTATCCTATCTGTTTCTCTTATAACGTACTACGTAATCATGCTAAGTCAATAAAAAGAGCCCTCAGGGCGTTGCCAGTAGGCTCTGCTGGCTCGGACAACTGCTGTCAACTCCTTTGTTCTCTCTCTCCAAGGCAATTAGCCCTTCCTTTGTTCCGTGATCACCACATCTTTTTCTGTGGAGAACTGAAATTCTCCACATGAGGAGCTTCGAATATTGAATTGTCAACTGTATGTTAGACAAGAGTTTTCTTTTTTAAATTAATAAGAAAAATTCAAGAAAAATCTGTCCGGATGTATTTACTTTGAAACTCCCTTCTCCCACCCCCATTTTTAAAAAAATCCATAGATTAACACAGCTACCTAGGATATATTTGGACAATTTCTTTCACAAGCTGGACTTGTTACACAAATAACTTACTCATTTTGAAAGAGGTAGCTTCCCAGCTGCTTATACAGGTCACAGTTTGCTTTTACTATTGCCGTAGATTCGGCAAAATGTTTATTTAGTAGTTGTTCCTGCAAGAAAATAGAATTACTAGCAATGGACTGCAACAAAAATGAGCACAGCTACAGGAAGTAAAGTACACTGGCTCTGATATGAGTAATCATAGAATGAGGCTCCTCCTCCATTTTAATTATGAGCCACTGACGAATTTTCATTGATTTCTGACTTGCATTAATTTTTTTAAAAAGGATATTAGTTGTTTGTGTTAATATCTGCTACAACCACCCCCACTTGAAACTTCTAAAAGTATGGAGCACGTGGACTTTACTTCCTGTTAATGCGTTTTCTAATATGGTAGTTTGTCGTTATACATGGGATCACTATCCAATGATTTAGTTATCCATGGTCTGAAAACATGAAAAATATTAAAAGAAAAATTCCCCAAATATATATTTTAACAATAAAGTTACAACAACTGGCCACTAGAGGGAGGCAGAGACTGTGCTATATATAGCATTTGCTATTATAATAGTGTTCACTATAATCCACATTTTTCAGCATCCATAGGAGGGCCTTGGAATTAGTCTCTCATGGATACAGGGTCCTACTGTATTGTTTAGCAGGTGGATACATCTAAACTAGCATGCTAGGTTCAGGTAAGAATTGCTTCACTTACACAGGCTCCATGTCTCTACGTCAGTGGACAGACTGATCTTCTATAAAGTGCTGTTCCTCTACTACTGGTAGACCTCTAATTCAAGGGCTCTTGAAGGCTAAATTAACCATGCCATGGCATGCCATGCTAATTTTATTACTATAGCCCAATGATAACTGGATCCCTATTAACATGTTTTTCTTAGACATTTATCTGAGGGGCCTCACACAGAAATAAGAGCCAATTCCGTGGTCACATGGCCAGTGTGACTTATGCCATGCTAATTTTATTACTATAGCCTAATGATAACTGGATCCCCATTAACATATGTTTCTTGGACATTTAAGTGAGGGGCCTCACATAGAAATAAGAGCCAAGTAAAATCTTCCAGCATCCCTTATGTCATCTAGAATGCTCTGCAGCAGTCTGCACTGGGAGAATACAGAAACAAGGGGCCACATTTGACTGGCTTGGAAAATATGAGATGTCAGAGTATGACATAGAGAATTTTCTTCCCTGACTAATCATGGTCCTCAGTTATCACTCTGGAGAATGTATCTTGAAACAGAACTTGGACAAATAGCTCTTCTGATCATCCTCCAACAGAAGATTCCTATGAAATAGATGTCCAAAGAGAAGATTGTGCCTTATATAGAAGCAATTTCCAAGGTAGATCAGGTAGATCTATCCTAGGTAGATCATGATAGGGTTGAAAAAACTGTTCTTGATCATAACATGGATCACTCATATTCATGCAGAGTAGCCTTGATAGCTAGATGGACAGTATATAAACTGACCGACCGACTGACTGACCGACCGACCGACCAACCAACCAACCAACCAAATGCTTCACTCATGTGCCCCTAAGTTTACGCTGTCAAATATTTTATGAGTAGCCTTGATAGCTAGATGGACAGTATACAAACCAACCAACCATTCATGTGCCCCTAAGTTTACGCTGCCAAATATTTTATTTTCCTCATCCTACCAAACTGCCAATTTGCCTGTTAAAGGTGATAGTGGAAAATGATGAGGGGGATGGTGGACATAAGGACAGAAACCAGTTGAAATAGGCATTGTTGGAGTCCCACATAAACTTCCCAGACTGTTTCATATTTTGGTTTTTCTCAGAGAACTTATTCATAAACAGTTTCACAGTTATCACAAAAGAACTACTAAGAATGCACACTGCAATGGCACCAAATCACCACTGTGGGAAATCACAGCTTACCCCTTCTTGAAGGCATGTTACCGGATGCTCAGTTGCGCAGCATTTCTCCAGCATCTCCTCATACCCTTTGGCAAGTCTTAACAACATCACTGGAGCTAATTCATCATGTCTCCTAGAATACTCACACAAAAACCTGCAGCACAGGAAAGATTTCATCAACACATAGAAACTGCTATTACCTTATATGCAGCTAAATTTAAAGTGTTCAAATCTATCCAAGTATATTATGGACCCCAAAACTAGTTGTGATTTTCATCCCTCTAAAGGTTAGATGAACCAAGAACAGAAATTATAGGGAGATGTTCAACACTCATTTTCTTTAAGAATGGATGAAACTGCAGTGCTAATTCTTCAGAAAATTTGCCCCAATTTATTCCATGTGGCAGTCATCAAATCAACTGCCATTTAGTAATGCTGATATGTTCTGCTCTGAGCCAAGACTAAATGATTTAATATAACTAATAAAACTATATTGTTGTTGAGGTTTTACTCCTAGCACACCTATATTTTACAGTTACTGATACACCACAAAGAAAAGCTCTTTCAGCTCATTGGGACCTGTGACTGAGTCAAAACTATTGAAAGTAAAGCATAAGCAGGTGCCTCAACCACAGCAGACATCTTATCTTCCTTGCCTCTACTTCTGTCCTCTTTCCTCTCCTCAGCATGTTCTGGAATTATATTATTAATTCAGAGTGGAATATGGAAATAACTGCCTCCTAATAGGCCTCCTTATAGACCTCTCTTGAAACTCCATCAAATCCTGCTTCATTTAGTGGTGGGAAAATCAAAATTCACGTGTTGCATGGTTGGCCACCTACAGCTCAAAACCTACAAATAGGAAAGATTAAGGATTATCTGAATGTTCTATTCCATACTTTGCCAGGTGAACACCTTTATTTTCAGCATAGTGTTGGCATACGGCTTGGTCATCGATAAACTCTCTGACTGTTGGAGACAGATCAGCAGGCTTGTCATCATTTTCTGCATGGGCAATGCATTCTCCTCGTTCCAATATGGGCCCTTCACAGCAATGTTTCAGTTTGGAAGAAAGGGTATCTTGGTGGCTACAGACGTAGTCTGTCAGCTTCTTCTGCAAGAAAAACAAAGTGGCAGTCAGTCACTACAACTGTAATGTGAAGAACTTGGAAGTTCCTTCACATGAAGATCAGTAACAGCAGTATCTTATCTTGACATTTTTCTTGCAGTGTCCATACAAGGATGGAGCATGTTCCACTTCTTTGGAAGTTCCTTCACATGAAGATCAGTAATAGCAGTATCTTATCTTGACATTTTGTCCTGCAGTGTCCATAGAAGGATGGAGCATGTTCACTTCTTACTAGCAGGTTCCAGGAAGACTGTGTAAAGTCCTGCTTTTAATGATGTGGGCTCTGGAACATAGCCATAAATCGCACAAGACTTGACATTCAGAGTATATCCCGAAGGCAGAAGCTTTCAACTGCACTACATAAAAACATAAGACGAGCCCTGCTGGATTAGGTCAAGAGCCCATCTAGTCCAGGTTCCTGTATCTCACAGTGGACCCACCAGATGCCTCTGGAAGCACAGGAGAGAACTAGATGCCTGTCTCCTGACACCCCTCCCTTGCATCTGGCATTTTGAGGTACCTTCCTTTTAAGCCTGAAGATTATACATCTCCATCATGGCTTGTAACCTGCGATGGACCTTTCCTACAGGAATCTGTCCAATCCCCTTTTAAAGGCATCTTTAAAAGGGGATTGGACTGGGTTGGCCAGATGCCCTCACCACATCCTGTGGCAAGGAGTTCCACAGACTAACAACACGCTGAGTTAAGAAATATTTTCTTTTGTCTGTTCTCACTCTCCCAACACTCAATTTGAGTGAATGTTCCCTCGTTCTGGTAATTCGTGAGAGGGAAAAGAGCTTCCCTCTGTCTACTTTATCCATCCCCTGCATAATTTATATGTCCACCCCAGGCACTTTCTCTCTTGACTGAAGAGCCCCAAAGGCTGTAGCCTTTCCTCATAAGGGAGGTGCCCCAGCCCAGCCATCATTTTAGTCACTGTCTTCTGCACCTTTTCCAGTGACAGGACATGACGTTTGGCACAGACATCCTCACCCTCTACTATGTCTGCTAAAGCTACAGAGAAAGCAACCTTGAGATGAGATGAGTTTATTGACCATTTTGGATTTCCTTTTGGTACCAATGCTCAGTTGGCTATAGGAGATAATAATAATATAAGAATCTTAGAACTGCAAAGCTGGGAGGGACCTATGGATCATGGAGTCCAGATCCGCTCAGGGAGGCACAGTGGGGAATTGAACTCCCAACCTCTGGCTCCACAACCAAGTGCCTAAGCAAAAACAGGGCTTATATTTTTTTAAAATACACAAACTCTTTTCTAACTTGTTGGAAAATGAATGGAAGACTAAGCACAGGTGATGGAGGGGCTATTTTTCTTATAGTCAGTCTGTTGTGTTTTCAATGTAATTGAATGAAATCGACAACTCTTACTCTATCAAGCATACAATCCAGGGTGTCACCTCTGCAACATTCTTCATAGATGTGCCCAATTTTTCCAGAAATATCCTTAATTGTTTGAAAGTTAGTTTTTGGGAACTTCTGGCTCATCTGAGCAATTTTTCTGGGTGGGAGGAAATTGAGATAACAGGATTGTTTCAGTAATCACTCATTTTCACAACTAAAATGCATTGAATGTATACGTGGTAGGAAAAAAAAGTTCCCCAAATAATCAGAAATATAATCGTAATTACAAATTTCCAGCTCATGCCAGTTTTGCACATTTTCAGACATCACTTAATTCTTTCTGATTTCTGCATCATGTTTAAAAGAAACTAAATGTTATTCACATCTCATCATATATCTTCTGGAATACAGTTTCTCTAAATATATGCCATTTTCCTCTCATGCAGTGTTTTTGAGCTGCAGCTGCATTGCACAGTGTGTAGGAAGGGACTACTTATCATGTGATTTTCAACTTATTTGGGAATTGAAATTTTGTCCATATACTAACATTCATTAAAAATACAGAGGATATGATCTCAGGTGCCCTTCTTTCCATCCCTCTGTCTACTAAGAGAAGTGTGATAGAGGTATCTATTTCAACTGTCACACACATTTCCAAAAATTTATCCTTGGGGAAGCTCACTTAATACAGTGTTCATGTTATGTGAAGTCCAGATTTTAAAGATAAGAAGCTCTATATTTTTATTTATTAAGTTAAGAATAATTTAGTGTTTATTTATTTAGATGGCTGTAAATTATTATTATTTTTGGTTCAAGGGCTGGTGTCAAGAAATGAACTCTTTTTAAAACAAGATACCCTTTCCTCTAAAAGCAATATGACAAAGGAAATAATAATAATAGGCAGAAGAAACTAAAATAAGAATTTGTCTTATTAAACACATTATGTATTCATTGCTAGAACGATGAAATTTCTGAGAGAGTTCAGTTGATTTTTTTAAAAAAATTAGAAGCAACTTGGATAATGAGGATTTTGCTCATTTATCATTTTACTTTTATTCAAACTTACAGGAGCAGCAGTTGTAAACTTTGCCTTTTTCTCTTTAACATTAATGATGGACACTGCATAAAGGTAAAGGTTCCCCTTGACAATTTTTGTCCAGTTGTGTCCGACTCTAGGGGGCGGCGCTCATCCCGCTCTTCAAACCATAGAGCCAGCGTTTGTCCGAAGACAATCTTTCCGTGGTCACATGGCCAGTGTGATTTAGACACGGAACGCTGTTTACCTTCCCACCGAGATGGGACCTATTTATCTACTCGCATTTGCATGCTTTCGAACCGCTAGATTGGCGGGAGCTGGGACAGGCGACGGGTGCTCATTCCGTTGCGTGGATTCGAGCTTACGACTGCTTGGTCTTCTGACCCTGTAGCACAGGCTTCTGCGGTTTAGCCCACAGCGCCACCACGTCCCTGATTGGACACTGCATAGATGTCATCATATTTATGTATCTTTTGGATTGCTGAGGAGGTCCTCAGAGAAAACAAAAACCAAGCCTCTTTCACAAAGTCTGGCTTTCACTTGGTCACAACCCTGAACAAACCTGTCTTGACAGATCTGGGGAGCTAAACAGTCAGGCCTGGTCAGTGCTTGGATGGAAGACCAAGAAAAAGAATCATCTGCTTGACGAAATTCTCCTTGTGAGTAAGAGGTTCAGAGGCCGTTCATCCTCACAATTTTTTACAATTAAAAAATTGTAATTTTTTAATAATCATTACAGATTTTTAAAATGTCTTTTTCTTTAACCAGCGGCATTACAACTAGATCTTATGTTTATTAAGGTATATTCAATGGAAGGATTTTTTTCTCTCCTTTAAACCTGCTTCATGTATTCCCTTCAAAAATGTAGATTGGATTCCACTCATTATGCATGGCTGAGTTGCTTCCATTTCTTGGCAACCCTGAGAGGATTTGCAAGCTATGTGAGATGATCAAGGAGTAGTTATTCTCTGCCACCCCCAGTGAGTATCCAAAGCTGACCAGGATTTGAATCTAGGTCTTCTGGGTCCTCTTCTGACACTCATCAAAATGGTTCTCACTGGATTCTGCCTCTGCTTATTTGATATTGCAGAGGAGAAAGAAGCTCTTTTTTCAGCTGTGTTCAACTCTTCAATTAAATACCTTGCTTATTTCCTCTCAATGAAAAGACTAGGTGCTAAACGACAACAAGATTAATAAAAAGCTTGGGTCCAGGCTACCTGAAGAACCTTATCTCCTCATAGGAGCCTTCTCAATATTTAATATCATCAGAGGAGGTCTGGCTCTTAGTCCCACTGCCAGTGCAGACACAGTTAATGGGTTATGGAATGCTTTCTCTTAGGATATCAAGCTGCCCCCCTCATTTCTGTCCTATTTTCAGATACCTTTCTGAGGTGCACATATCTGTTTTTTTGCAGGACACAATTTTCTAAATGGAAGATCTGGCTATGTGACAGTACATGTGCCTAAAAATGCTAGGCGATGTGTTACTTTCTCACACAATCCATGTGATTTTTAAAGGAGCAGATGTAATGGACTGGGAGATATGTATCAGTCGCAGTTCACAAAGATCAGCATCCTGTTGTGAAGCCCCACCTGTACATGTGACTCACGCTCAACGAGATGAAGTCATGCATACCTCAAAATCAGAAAAGGAACTCTGAGCAGATGTCACTAATAGTGACATCAATCCTGTTGCCCAGGCAGAGGTATGCAATAGGACTCTGGCCAATATCTTTAACTGCTGCATAACCACAGTTTTTTTCATGCTCAAGAACACATCATACTTGCTGATCAAGGTAGATTATAGATTATTTCTCAACTGTAACAACACTTACAATCCTTGTAGACTTTCCATACCAAACTTCCTTAGGACAGAGCACTGGTGTTTCTCCACTCCAATAGCTTTCAGCATTCTCTTTGTTGCAGCTGCTACCTGTAACAAAAAAGTTTTTTTTTAAAAAATGGCAAACATAAGGTTAATGTTTAAATTCAAAGTTCCACGGACTTGAAAACAAGAAAAAGCACAAGCAGCTCATCAGAATTTCCAGGGGTTTGGTTAAAAGCTCAGGAATTTGTGGAGAAGTGTGTGTGTTGAGACATTGACCCAGTTAAATATGAACATGATTTTGCTCAAATGCTAATCAATAAAACAATTCTGTATGCCCAAACATGGATTCCATCTCACTACAACTTCCACTACAACACGTACTCTGCAAATTATTAAATCTGCTACTCTCCAACAGCTCATGTACATCAACACTTTTTTTTGCCAGGTTGGGAGTTCAATTCCTCACGATGCCTCCTGCAAGTAGAGTCAGTCTGTGTGGCCTTGGGCAAGCTGCACAGTCCCACAGTGCCCCTAGAAGAAGGGAATGGTAAACTACTTCTCAGTATTCTCTATCTGGAAAACCCTGAAAAAGGCTCACCATAAGTCAGAACTGACTTGACGACACATGTAACATGCGTTATGTGGGACTGCCTCTGGAAAGTATCAAGAAACTTCAGCAGGTCCAAAACCTGGCAGTCTGACTGCTGATTGAGGGATCATATAACCCATCTGGCTGTCGATCCGTCTCTGGTCACAATTCAAAGTTTTGGTTCTCACCCATAAAGGTTGGGTCCAAGCTACCTCAAGGACGTGTCTCCCTTGATGAAGCTGCTTGTGTGTTAAGATAATCAGAAGGTTATCTTTCATTTGGATCCACCACCTTCACAGGTGCATTTGTTTGGGACATAGGACAGGGCTTTCTCTGTTACTGCTCCCAATCTTTGGAACTCCCTCCCACAGGAGGCCAGGCTGGCCCCAACTTTGCTGTCCTTTCGCAAATAGGCAAAGACCTTTCTCTTCAGGTGAACTTTTCCTCAGCGACTGCCTGAGTGGTGTTTTTAAATGGATGGTTGTCCCTGACTGCTTTGATTTTTTTTTTTTTACTATTGCTTTTGTCTACTGTTTCTTAGAGTGCTATCTGCTTGTTCCATTTAAGTGTTTATATACTTGTTTCTAGCTTTAAATACTGTCTTTTAAATATGTATACAGTTTTGGGTTCTTTTTAAGGAGAAAGGTGGGATAAACATATTTTAAATATATAAATAACATAAAATGATCATTGCTGCCAGGATTATGGAACATCTGAGAGGGGAAGACTTGTGCCTTTACACCAAGGGAGTGGAGAATCTTTAGGCAGTGGTGCCAAAGGATCGGACCTGCTATAAAGCAACTTCAATGGATTCTGTCAACATGGAATTCTGTGGAGATGCTCTACCAGAACATCCAGGCATGATATAGATTGCAATGAAATACCTTGTCATCGAAGCAAGCATGCTTGTCCTCCACCTGGCAACACTCTGTCAGGACTTCTTCATACTCCTTTTCTCCATGCAAGAATGTGACAATCTTCGTGAATGGCTGCCTTCTGGCAGCCTCATAGATGTAACTATTTAAAGAGAGAGAGAGGAAGGAGGAGGTGAGGAAGCAGGGAAGAGAAAGTGCCACTGCATTAATCTAGGCACCAATTTCTTACAGTAAAGGACCTGCTACTCAAGGACTTTGTAAGGAAAACCGCTAACATCAAGGATAGGAAAGATCATTGTTCAGCCAGGTTTACTTTAATGAAGGAGATGGAAAGTAGATTCCTGTTCTTGCTCTCCCGGACTACTTAAATGTACTGCCACTAATGCAGCTAGACTAAACATTAGAGGCATTTATGGCATTCCATATTGCTACATAACTCAGGCATTGAGTTCAGATCAAAAAGGGTCCAATGGGAGGTAAGGGGATGGGTAGCATGCTTGAAGGTGCTAAAGAGTTTGCAGGAAAGGGGAACAGAACAATGTAAACACATAGGTAAAACTCAACTTCTGCCATAACCTCCATGCAAAACAAAGTAATGGGATCATGTGTGATTTGGAAAAGAATAATGCAAAATGAGGTGGGATGGATTGCAATGTCCCAGAAGAAGATATGACTGATTTGATTTGATTGTCCTCAAAACAGCAGAAAATGGGAGGCTACAGGAAAAATGACTGTAGCTCTGAAAAGATTCCTGCTAGGAAGTGAGGATACACTGCAATATTTGTTGGAGGTTCCACTTGACACTTGTTAGCTGATATGAAACAGGAGTTAGAATGAGAATTTATTGGTGTTTGGTAGATTGCTTGCAACTGAAAGTCACTTATTTTGTAGTAACTTCATTCAACCCTTAAAGAAGCACCAAAGCACTACAATTATATCAATTTACTTACTGGTTTAAAGCCTCCACTTTTTTATCATGGAATTGTTTGCAGGTCGCCTCTGGGTCCAGTTTTGGGAATGGTGAAATGTAATATCTAGATCCATTTTTATGGGCCAGAAAACATTCATGTCTTTCCAGGTCAGCTTGAGCACAGCAAGGAGCAAAGCCATATTTGGCAGCAATACCTTCTTCATGACAAATCTCATCAAGTAGAACAGTACTCTGATAAACAGATGCAAGATTTTGTTTTAAGGCATTAGATATACACCCACCAGTTTACACTTATTGCAACTGTTTGGTGTCAAGAAAAAAACAACAGTGACATCTCCAGCTATGACTCAAGTTCCTTCTGCAGCAATAAGAGTTGGAAGTCAAATAGTGAAAGGTTTCCAAGGGGGCTGAATCAATACAGTATTACCATTTCAACTATTTATAGCATTTGCTACAAAACAAACACATACTTCTTTTTTTTGGGGTCTATCTCACTTACCTTTCTTGCCTATATTTGTTTACTTTTACAATTAGAAAAAAGATAAAAGAAATCCATCCCACATATTGGCATCAGCTTTGGTATCAACTGGATTTTCAATTTCTGCTGGGAACTAAAAAGACACTGGAGGTATTCCAGAGAAAATTGGATCCTGGGAACTAAAAAGACACTGGAGGTATTCAAGAAAAAATTGGGCCACTATCTGTCAGATCTGCTTTGATTTGGATTCCTGCGTTGAGCAGGGGGTTGACCTTGCTGGCCTTATAGGCCTCTTCTAACTCCATTATTCTATAATTCTATAAAATCTAAGAGGTTAGACAGTCTGTGATTTTTTTCCTGAATCTTTCCTCCTGTCTTTCTTGATTCTTGTGGAATCTGAAATAATAAGCCTGAATAAAGGTAGCAAATCTTATCCTGACAAAACTCATGGTTTATTAGTACCTTATTATAGTCCTTCAGATGGCCCAACAAGAAAGGTCTTGTTGTCTAAAAAGATGTGTTCCATGTTCAGATGATTACATGTTCATATACATTGGCCAAATTTATAAATCACAACTAGAGTAGGCCCATTGAATCAATAGGATTTATGGAGGGGTTCGTTCACCAAATCCCAACTGATTCAATGGGTCTCCTCTGGATATCAATAATTAACTTGTCTCCAAATAGTTTACTTTCTCTCTAATGCTTATCAGGTCCTTTTTATGTTTGCCATTTTATTTGTTAACAATGCTGATTTTGCTCTGCTGGACTACTTAAATGAGCTGCACCTAATGCAGTTAGACTGAACATTAGAGGCATTTATGGCATTCCATATTGCTACATAACTCAGGCATTGAGTTCAGATCAAAAAGGGTCCAATGGGAGGTAAGGGGATGGGTAGCATGCTTGAAGGTGCTAAAGAGTTTGCAGGGAAGGGGAGCAGATGCTGACAGAATCTACAACTTACCAGGATTCCATACAATGTAGGGAGTATCAAGGTTCCCAGTGTGGTCTAGTCGATAGAATGATGGACTAGGCGCTGGAGGAGTGGAACTGGTAGAAACACTCCTTAAATACTGTATCTCACTTACCTGAAAAGCCCTGCTTGGGTCAATATAAATTTTGACTTGATTGCACAGAACGCACATAGGGAGTATCAATGTTTGTTTTCTGAATTTAACTCCAAAAGCTTACCAAAGGCTTTGTGCATTCTACATCTGAATGCTCATCAGCAGTGCATTTCTTTGCAAGTGCTAATGTATCCTCCACCAGTTTATGCACTTCTTCATGTGTGCCTTTCTGTATGAACTGGGAGAACAGCACGAGACAACTGGAAAAAAGGGTAGAATAGACTAAAATATGATGCAGTTCTTTGTGGAATGATATGCTATAGAACTGTCTCAGGCAAAGGGTGATTTTATGGATGGTGGCAGAATACAGATGTGGGGTGTGCTCCTTGAAATTAGTCTGTCAGATCTGAAAACTAATTTGTTGCTGTTAAATATTAGAAGTAGACTCCACAAGTCACCATAACTTACATTTGCTTGTTGGTTTGCTCCAAATGCAAACTTCAAAAGAATTTCTAAAAGTGCAATATCTACAGGACACTGGAAAACCTGTTTTCCCCCCCTCTTCCATGCATATGTTAACATGTTCACCAATGCTTGATTGCACATGTTTCTCATTAATGTCTTTGTGAAAAGGTCCATTTTTGAACCACTGGGATTTGAATAAAACTAGGTTTGAAAATAGCTCAAAATCTTTATTCAGTGCCCTCTTTTATTTTGGGGTGACTGCACTAGAGGTAATTTCTAGAAAGAGATTCTGAATAGACTTACATTTTTTCCAAATGCTCATCTGATAGTACAGAGACATGTTTGATGGTCGTAGGAGGTTCTGTAAAGAAGGCAGTGATCAAAGCCCAAAAATATTGGGAAAGGGTTGAAATTAGAGATGGAAGTTGACGACTCATGAAGCATGAATTTGCCCCCATGAAGCAACGAATAATGAAGTTATTTCTTGATTCATGGGGGATTTATTTAAAAACACCCCTGTCCCCCATTGCCCCCTGCTTCTGCCCCCCCCTGCCCCACTGCCACCACTCCCTCCCCCCCTACCACTGCCAGCACCCCCTTCCTATAAAAAAACCCGCTGATCAACTGATCAGTGGCTGATAGGCAGCCAACCACCCCCCACAGCCTACCCCACCCCTTCCTCTCCCTATCTTAGCCCTCACCCCACCGTCACCCCCTTACCTTAATCGCCGCTGCCAAGGGCTCCATCTGGAGCCCTTGCGTGTAAAAAGGGAGACTAGTAGCCCTTTGCAAAGATGGTGGCTGCGGCTGTATTTAGGGTAGGGAAGCTGCAGCTGCCATCTTTGCAAAGGGCAGCCTGGATTCCCTTAGCCTGCTTGTGGAATGAGGCATTTAAATTCTGTCACATTGCATTTTCATTAATGTGGAAGATCTACAGTGCCTGAAACAATGAGCTTCTGCTAATGGGCCCATACAATTCAATAAGGAACATAGCTCTACATATACAGCTGTTATATTTCAGGCAAATTTGGCACAAAATCTAGGGACTGGCACAAAATACAATGTTTTGCTGAGAAAAAAATCCACTTTTACTTTTCGGGGGCAAAGAAGTCTCCAATTTAAAATTTTAATATATACTACATATATATCTTATGTAGTATAGACAAAACTTCTGAAATCTTGCCTCTACATATGTGAAAACGACATATGTGAGAACTTACCTCCTTACTCCAGAACAATTTCCAAATCAGTACACTTTTAGTGATTAGTATCTAGTTCAATCAATTTGTATTAAAGCAGAATATTAAAAATACACTTATCTATATTTATCTCCTGCCACTCTTGCTTCTAGCAGGGTTTATCTTTTTCCTAACGTGACAGAGTGGTCTCTGCCAGCTAGATCCAGTGATACAGGAACACACAATAATGTTGTGACATCTGTACATGGGGTGAAAGAGGAGAGTGTAAAAAATGGTCTGAAGCTCAACATAAGAGCATGGGAACTGGTCCCATCACCTCCTGGCAAACAGAAGGGGAAAACAAGGAGGCAGTGACAGATTTTATTTTCTTGGGCTCCATGATCAGTGCAGATGGTGACAGCAGCTACAAAATTAAAAGACACCTGCTTCTTGGAGGAAAGCGATGACAAACCTAGGCAGCATCTTAAAAAACAGAGACATCACCTTGCAAACAAAGGCCCACATAGTCAAAGCTATGGTTTTTCCAGTAGCGATGTACGGAACTGAGAGCTGGACCATAAAGAAGGCTGGCCATCGAAGAATTGGTGCTTTTGAATTGTGGTGCTGGAAGAGGTTCTTGAGAGTCCCCTGGACTGTAAGAAGATCAAACCTATCCATTCTAAAGGAAATCAAGCCTGAGTGCTCACTGGAAGGACAGATCCTGAAACTGAGGCTCCAATACTTTGGCCATCTCATGAGAAGACTCCCTAGAAAAGACCCTGATGTTGGGAAAGTGTGAAGGCAAGAGAAGGGGATGACAGAGGATGAGATGGTTTGACAGTGTCATCAAAGCTACCAACATGAACTTGACCAAACTCTGGGAGGGAGTGGAAGCCAGGAGGGCCTGGCGTGCTCTGGTCCAGGGGGTTACAAAGAGTCAGACACAACTTAATGACTAAAGAAGAACATCTGTACATGTGCACTATAGCAAAACATGATAGTTAGAACACATGAGGGAAATTATTGCTATTCTGGAGGTTGCTCTTTCTAGAACAGACAATTCCTTTCTTACCTGCTTCCCTGTAAGCTCTGCTCAGGTACTTCGATTCCGTAAAACTGAGTAAGAAAAGGCAAGAGATGAATGTCACCCACTTCATGGTTCCAAATTGTTAGGGGCTTGTGTGTGCAAGGCAGGATGAGCAAAGGAACTTATATACTCTAGTGCAGACATGTTTGGTTAATAACCAGCCATCGTATGTCCGATGCATGGGCAGAACACAAATAATTACATTGATGAAACATTTGCCCCTTTTGTTTGTTGAAGGGTATCTTGTCACAACAGGGATGGCCAAAGTCTTCATTATTTTTTTCAGGATCAAATAGACATCAGCCTTATCGCACTGTAAGTTCAGGGGTAGAGATGTGTGGTGTGACTGTCCAAGATTGTTTATAATATTTGATCTTTTGCAACAGGTCCTGAACATCTGAACTACAATCAGATAACAAAATAGAATTGTGATGTGTGACGTCCAGTATATTATGCACCTCATAATATTTTCCTAATTTGGAAAATGATAATTACGAAAACAACAGCAGTAGCAACTTAGTAAATTTTAGTATGATAGATATTTCAGAGCAGTAATCCTAGTAACAGAGGATGAGATGGTTTGACAGTGTCATCAAAGCTACCAACATGATCTTGACCAAACTCCGGGAGGGAGTGGAAGCCAGGAGGGCCTGGCGTGCTCTGGTCCAGGGGGTTACAAAGAGTCAGACACAACTTAATGACTAAAGAAGAACATCTGTACATGTGCACTATAGCAAAACATGATAGCTAGAACACATGAGGGAAATTATTGCTATTCTGAAGGTTGCTCTTTCTAGAACAGACAATTCCTTTCTTACCTGCTTCCCTGTAAGCTCTGTTCAGGTACTTTGATTCCGTAAAACTGAGCAAGAAAAGGCAAGAGATGAATGTCAACCACTTCATGGTTCCAAATGGTTAGGGGCTTGTGTGTGCAAGGCAGGATGAGCAAAGGAGCAGATGGAACTTATATACTCTAGCCCATACATGTTTGGTTAATAAACAGCCATCGTATGTCTGATGCATGGGCAGAACACAAATAATTACATTGATGAAACATTTGCCCCTTATGTTTGTTGAAGGGCATCTTGTCACAACAGGGATAGCCAAAGTCTTCATTATTTTTTTTAGGATCAAATAGACATCAGCCTTATCGCATTGTAAGTTCAGGGGTAGAGATGTGTGGTGTGACTGTCCAAGATTGTTTATAATATTTGATCTTTTGCAACAGGTCCTGAACATCTGAACTACAATCAGATAACAAAATAGAATTGTGATGTGTGACGTCCAGTATATTATGCACCTCATAATATTTTCCTAATTTGGAAAATGATAATTACGAAAACAACAGCAGTAGCAACTTAGTAAATTTTAGTATGATAGATATTTCAGAGCAGTAATCCTAGTATTTTCAATCATTTCTCACTAAGAAAAAACAGTCTTGTTATCAGAAAGAATGAAAGATGAAACATCTGGGCCTAATGGTTCAATGATACATATTTTGTGGCAGAATTATTTTGACTATGAAAGTCTCTGCTCTCTACTCATCTTAGCAACGAGATAACCAGAGAGCGAAGCTTCTCTGAAACAGCATGAAAAACTTTCCTACTACAGAGCGGACCTTAAATCAAGATGGATGCTATTGGGACAATCTTAGAACTACATATCCCATTCTAAAACACATAAAAACACAGATCATCACACAAACTACATGGCAGTGTTGAAATTTTAGATCTATAAATGTATTAAATGTATTGTAGTACTGTATAGTGAAAATGTAAAATGGCTGATATAACCTGAGTCATGTACAAAGTGGATTCAGTTGTGTACCAAGGCTAAAGACTTGATGGTATTTGTGGGTTTTCCAGGCTCTTTGGCCGTGTTCTGATAGTTGTTCTTCCTAACGTTTCACCAGTCTCTGTGGCCAGCATCTTCAGAGGACAGCACTTTGAAGATGCTGGCCACAAAGACTGGTGAAATGTTAGGAAGAACAACCTTCAGAACACGGCCAAAGAGCCCAAAAAACCCACAACAACCATTAGATCCTGGCCATGAAAGCCTTCTCAAATACATTAAAGACTTGAAGTTGTGCAGTTGGAGAACATTATGTAATCTTATGTAATGTCTAAATGATGTAATGTACTGTACATTCTGATTGGTTCTTAGATGTATAAAAGGCATGTGTAAAGGGGACATGTTATCTGCTGTAAGTCAGATCGTTTATTTCTATACTATGTATTGTATCATGTCATGCTGCCAGTTGAATGACTGAAATTTATGCTCTCTGCATATTTTAAATAGATTATGTTGAATTTTACTCTCCCAGTGTTATAGTGTCTTTGTATCCTGATATCTCCTAACTTTGCTTTCGTCCAGAAACGTTAACAAATTCTCAAGAGTTAGATGGGTGGGGAATGAGTGAGATGCAAAAAAGAGGGTGATACTTCCTTTGGTAATAACCTTGTCACATGACCCTGGCATACCTGTAATAAACAAAATACTGTACTGATTTCTCTAATATTCTGGTATCAAGAATTAGATTATTGTGGTGAGTTGGGATTGCATCCACATGACTGACACTCAAACCCCTTTATTGTACATGTTCCTTTAAAGCTACAGTACCTGCTCAATGTAGTGAAAAAAACAACAAATTGATAAAGCAAGCTGGGTGCCTAGGCCTCACACAGTGACTGGAGGAAAGCTCTACTCAGAGTGAAGTTCAGGTAACCGACTACCACCTAAAGCTCCTTAAGAGTGATCCTCTTGCTTGCAACCAGACCACGGATCCTGTCTTTAAGCTTTACTAATTTATGTGCCAGCAGTCTACAAGACTGCTGTCACATGTCTAGTTTGATGCCTAAGAATGTCAATGTAGAAGCTGGGCCCTCTGTTTTTCCTTTGGCCAAAGGGACCTTGAAGTACCGGGCCAGTTCCTGAAAAGAAGCTAGGAGTGGGTGACACCACCCCAAGCCCTGCTTTCTAGAAAAAAAGAAAATCATCTAGGCTTTGCTAGACAGCCCCCACCCTGTGTCTGAGCACCCACTCCAAAAATGAGCTAAAGTACTCAAGCACATTGCAGGAAATGGAGTACCCCATGAGCAGGGCCCTATCTGTATAGATAGACCCTTCAAACACAAACCCAAGCAACTCAAAATCAGTGGGGTGGACTGCGAGAAGGTAAAAGGCAGACTTTATGTTGCCTTTAACCATTTCTGTAATGATGCCACAGGCATGCACACTGCTGTGTCAAAAAGAAGTATGCCCAATAAAACTCCTGGGGGATTCCATCATTGACAAGACTCCCTCTCTGAGTATGATAAATGATGAATTAAATGGAATTCACCTGGGGTTATATTTGAAATGACTCCCAGTGGGGAAACTCTTCAGTGAGGTGCAGGGGTGAGACGGGTGGGACAAGAAAGGCCTCAACACCCAGCTTTCATGGACTTATTTCTCTGTTTTTGCCTGCACAACATGGAGTTGTGGAATGCAAGTTGTCAGCCTTAGCAGTGACACAGGCTCCCTCTACTGGAATCCAAAACCCAAACTGAAAATTGTCGCACAAATAACATGTTGACTCTCCATTGGGGCAGAAGCTGAGCTGGTAAGTAAGATGTCCCCATGTGCTGCCCCTCTGCTATGTGCACTGCTTAGAGACTAGTGGTACTTGACATTTGGAGACCCAGAGCTAATCCATAGCTGCCCTGATCCTTTCCAGTGCAGGTCATGGGGAGGGGGAGGAAAGGCCACTAAACTACACAAATCTTCCCAGCAAAAATTGGGGGACGGTGAGAGATGGTTTCACTGAAAAGTCTGCCCCACTAGCTCAAGTAGGGGGGTAGCCAATGTCAAGTACCCCTCCCCAAGGAGGAAAAAGGGGGTGGAAAATATACCCCTAGCACATACTTAATCTCGCTTTTATGCTCCCTCCTGTTCCTTTTTTCTCTCCCTAAACTACACAAATCTTCCCAGCAAAAATTGGGGGACGGTGAGAGATGGTTTCACTGAAAAGTCTGCCCCACTAGCTCAAGTAGGGGGGTAGCCAATGTCAAGTACCCCTCCCCAAGGAGGAAAAAGGGGGTGGAAAATATACCCCTAGCACATACTTAATCTCGCTTTTATGCTCCCTCCTGTTCCTTTTTTCTCTCCTAAAGCCCACTACTGCCACCTTATAGTGCTGGGTGTGTGTTTAACAAACACACACCCAGCACTATAAGGTGGCAGTAGTGGGCTTTAACTGTGGAACGAATTAAATTCGTCTTGTGAGGCACCACTGTATGTTTAA